TTAATGTCAATGTGCTTGCAGAACTGCTGCTGTGTTTGTTGTGTGGCTGCTGTGGGTTACTGAACACTGGTGTCACACTGCCAGGATAAAATCTTCCCTTCCCGGGAGGCGAGGCCAGTCGCCCTGCCCTGGGGGGCTGTACCCCCCATCACCACTGAAAAATGGCTCTGCTTACAACGGCACAGAAAATAGAAAGCTAGATGGGGAAGAGAAGGGGGCCAGAAACCACGTCCTCTCTGAGAGGAGGTCATCAAGGACAGAGACTCCCGAGAGGAAGATGCCCAGGCCGGCGAGCAGAGAGCTGTCTGCAGGTCAGCTGCTTTTCCTCTCTGCCCTCCTGTCCCAGTGTTTGTGCGCTCTGGTCATCCCTGGCAATGGTGTCCTACTTCCACCCTTGTGACAGATGCATCCCCAGTGACGCCCACAGGAAAACCTGTTGCCGGGACAACAGATGCAGAGGAAGCCACTAGAATCCTGGCAGAGAGACGACGCCAGGCCCGTTTGCAGAAGGAGCAGGAGGAGAAGCAGCGGCGTGAGCAGGAGGAAGAGGAGAGGTGTGTGTGTGTGGGGTGAAGGAAGAAGAGAAATATGTGTGTGTGGGCAGGAGGAAGAGGAGAGAGGAGAGGTGCGTGTGTGCAGGCATTAGGGTGTTTGGGTGTGTGGGCAGGAGTTAGAGGAGAGGTATGTGTGTGTGGGCCGGTGGAAGAAGATTGGTGCATGTGTGTAGGCAGAAGGAGGAGGAGAGGTGTGTGTGTGTGGGCAGGAGGAAGAGGAGAGGTGTGTGTGTGTGTGAGCAAGAGGAAGAGGAGAGATATATGTGTGTGGGCAGGAGGAAGAGGAGAGGTNGAGGAAGAGGAGAGGTGTGTGTGTGTGTGAGCAAGAGGAAGAGGAGAGATATATGTGTGTGGGCAGGAGGAAGAGGAGAGGTGTGTGTGTGTGTGTGTTTGTGTGGGCAGAAGGAAGAAGAGAGGTACATGGGTGTGGGCCAGAGGAGCAGGAGAAGTGTGTGTATGCAGGCATGAGGAAGAGGAGAGGTGTGTGTGTGCAGGCATGAGGAAGAGGAGAGGTGTGTGTATGTGGGTAGGAGGAAGAAGGGGAGATGCGTCTGTGTAGGCAGGAGGAAGATGAGAGGTGCATGTGTGTGGGCAGGAGGAAGATGAGAGGTGCATGTGTGTGGGCAGGAGGAAGAAGGGAGGTACGTGCATGCAGATAGGAGGAGGAGGAAGGGTGCATGAGTGCAGGAAGGAAGAAGAGGAGAGGTATATGTATGCAGGTAGGAGGAAGAGGAGAGGTGTGTGTGTGGGGGGGGGACTGACACAACAACACTTCATCATGTCTCCATCTTGAAGGCTGAGAAAGGAGGAACTGAGAAGGCAGCAGGAGGAAGAGGAACGTCTCCTAGAGGAGAAGAGGCAGAGGGAGGAGCAGGAGCGGAGACATGCACTGGAGGAGGAACGATGGCTCAAGGAGCAACGCTGGAGGGATCTGCAGGCCCAGCTGGAGAGAGAGGTGTGTGTTACAGAGCTGAAATAAAGGTGAAGACTGCACAGCTTAAAAGGCAGCCATTGGCAGGATCATGAGGGATCATGGCAGGATCATGAGCGATGCGGGGGTTTGTCTTCCTTACAGAGAGAGGAGGTGGAATTTCGGGCCCAGAAGGAGGCAGAACGTAAGCGCATTGAGAGGGAGATGCTGAAACTGCAGGAAGAGCAGGAGAGACTGCAGAGGAAAAAGGTGCCCATTCTCACACATATAGCATTGTGGCTAAAAAATCAGCTGTCACTACTTAGCAAAGCTTAGACACGCTCTTTCTGTCTCTCCAAAGAGGATTGAAGAGATCATGAAGAGGACCAGGAAGACAGATCCTGAGACCAAGGTCAGAATCCGCAGTGTATGAACCCAGCACCATGTATGTCAGTACACTCAGTGCATGATTTTGACCATGTGTGCACACACAGTCACTGTGCTCTGTGGTTTCATTTCAGGGTTTACAAAAAGCCATGAGGTCACACACTGTTCTAAATGCTCCTGAAAGAGTGTAATGTGGTGAAGATCTAGACAGGGTAAAATACCCAAAAGAGTGTCCACATCTTTGTCTTTTTGTGACACTGTAGTGTTCACTACATACATTCTTGTATCACTTCAGTGTGCACTGCACACATCCTTACCATTTTGTGTCACTGCGGTGTGCACTGCATGCATCCTTGTGTCACTTCAGTGTGTATCACTGGTTTGCATTCAGCGAAGCTGTGCTCTGTATCTGACTGCATATGGTTCACAGTCAGACTGGCTTTGATCGCTGATGCAGCTGTGTTCATGTCGACACAGAAGGATGCTGTTTGGGTGGAGCCGTCATGTCCTGTCTCTCTCCCGCAGTCTGTCTCGTCCTCCCTACATGACCTCAGAGGTAGGTGCATAAACAGCTCTGCCAACCACACCCACCCACCTTGCAGCACCATACTCCAACCATGCCCACCATACTCCAGCCACACTCACCCACCGTGGAGTGCCACATTCCAGCCACACCCACCCAACCTGCAGCACCATATCCCTACCTACATCCTGGTTTACCCACCCTTTGTCTCTTACTTCTGCCTCCTGTTAGTCACAGGACTGACACACACCACTGCTATGAGGATAGTGCTCCATCTTGTGACCAGAGAGGAGATAGCATTTTGATGGACTGAATAGAAACATGTTACCCAAATAAAAATAAAAGACTGTCTAGGCTCTTGCACAAATGCTGGACAATGAGGCAATGTTGTGTCTAGCAGGTACAGGGGAAGTCAACATGCAGACAAATGTCCAGGTGAGTGGGCGGAGCTTCGGGCAGCTGGGGCCACCGGGGCCGCCAGTGTCCTGTCTCATTGGCCAGGGAGTGGACGACCTTGCTGATGAAGTTCAGGCCATGGATGTCAGGTGGGCTGCTGTATTGATGCCCAGCATTATTTACCTTCGTCTACAAAAATACACCCTCTAAAATCAGAAGAAAAAAAATCTGTTCCAGTCATTATTAGTGTAGAAAAATATGCTCTCAAATATAGCATGTTTTTGATTTGATGGTTGATGTATTTCTGGTAAATATGACTTTAAAAAGCTTTTAAAAGCAGCAATCATATATAACATCAATCTGATAAAAATATATGGTTCCCTTCCACTCTGATTAAAAAAAAAATGACCGAAATGACCACACTGGGTATATATTTGCATGGACCTTGGGAAGCTGAAAGCAGCTGAACACCGCTCAGGCCATGTCCTATCCTGGCTCTCCCATGTAGCCCAGTCTCTAAGGAGGAGCTCCTCCCTGTCCAGGGATTCTTGCCTGCTGAGATCCAAAACAAGAGCACGAGCAGTGGGCAGGTCCTGGATGACCTGCTGCGCCTCACGGGCTTCGTGTCCAATCCTAAGCTTGCTCCTGAGGCCAGCCTGGGTGACTGCAACAAAAACGTGATTGAGGGCTTCTGCCCTAGCGCTGACTCACAGATGATCCAGTCTCTGACCCAGAGGTCAGGCACCCTCAGCCTGCAGTAGTCAGGTAGTAACCCCATACCTGGTGTGATCATGTTGGAGTTACGATTGACCATGTCTTTCCTGTGCACTGACTGAATTCCCTTTCGGCTGCAGAAATGCCCGGAATACCACATGGATGGATCCGCAGCCGTCCAAAAGAGACCTTCCTGCAACCCAATGGAACCGGGAGACTTTACTTATATAGATGCCTGCACTGGAATCTCCTGCAAACTCCCACAGCCTCTGTCCCAGGGATACCTTCATCTATCAATCTGTCTATCTTGTGCTGTTTGTTTAATGTAGCATCTACTAGGTCTAACATGGAAGGCAATTCAGAGATGGGTTTAAGTATGTAAAGTCTTTCTGTAGCGAGTGTGTTTGGCATATTCAGTCAAAGTAACGCAAATGTGTGTGTTTGTGTAAATTTGCCAAAGAAAAGTCATGTACTGCAACCTGCTTTCATAAGCTGCACAGTCAAAAGCTGTAGCTCTGCATCCGGACAGTATTGAAAGCTGGTGGCCACTCATTCACCGCACGTGTACAGAGCTATTAGCAAACATGACCTAGTGTGGAAAAGCAGCATACCCACATATTCTACATCTTTTGAAGGACAAATGAGCTTATTTTGCAAATATTGCGTACTACTCACTAATAGGATTATCATCCCTACAAAATCCTGCGAAGATGCTAACCCTGCATTTAACCAGCTGCTTTGTAAGTCAGGGTATTTGGGAGTGTATTGTGTGCCGTGGTTTTCTTGCAAATTATCATCCAGCTACCCCACCTGCAGTACTGGAGGTTAGGACAATTGCCCCAGTCTGGTCAGACTGACTGCCATGGGGAATCTGCACATAAATGATGTTGTGCTCAGATGTGTATAATTATTAGGGGGTTACTGTTATATGCGCGTATATGTCATTTTGCACTGTGGTCACAGTGTCCTGCCACTGTTTTTTGAACCTTTTGTAATGTGTTTTGATGAATGAGTGATTACAAGGAGGTACGTGAAGATCACTGTGACACATGAGTTTAGCCAATGAAGATGAAGCTCTGCACTGGAACGAAACAGAAAGTGCACTGTGGTCTCCTACGTCAAGCAGTGGCTGCAGCAGACAGCAGCTGCATAACCCATTGTAGACTTGATGCATGAAATTTAGCTTCAGTGATAAGAAAAATAAAATCTTAAAGCCAGATTTTGCTTGTGGTTGTCTGTCTGTGAAACACAACGTTCCAGAGAAATTATCCTGCTACTGTTGTAATTGGTACTCAGAATATCTTCCATTGATAATACTCATATTTCGTTAAAATTAATGCCGTATATTCGAAAAAAAAGTCAGTTCCCCAAATGACTGCAATTCTATGCACTTTTAAAGCAGAACAAAAGAACACTTTTTTTTCCCTATAGTACTTGTACGCTTGCACAGCCTTGCAGTGTGCCTTTTGATATTACTTCCGGGTGACTGCCCCCTCGCTCCCCCCCCCTCGGTGGACCGAAATCTTCCGGGTCACGAAGATGCAGCGGCTCGCGCACTAGTAGGCTAGTATACTAAGCTAGCGCCTAAAAAATAAGTAATAGTGGAAATTGGAGTCGTCACGTTATATGGAAATCCGCTTTTCTCGCTCTGTTTTCATTCGGAATTCAGTTTATAAACTTTTCCGTGTGAGGCCGACTAGTACTTTGGTGTCGCGGCTTGTAAAGGGAGCGGTAAGTAATTCGCTAACTATCCGAGGCAACAGATAGACTGCCGGGGACTTTTTACTCTGTGGCTGCTGGTCGGGCTCCCCAGTACGGGCACAGCTAACCCTGTCTCCTTTGAACCCAGGTCTTTGAGGGTGCCCTGGAGGGCCACACGGAAAACGATTTCTGTTTTGAATGCCGCGTAAATTTTATTACAGCTAAATCACTTACTTGTATGCGATGCATTCTTTACCTGGTGATTATTATTATTAACAGGTTGAGATTGTTAAACTGCATCACTTCTGGATTCAGCCTATCTCAGTTACATCTTGTTATTTTTTTTTTATCTGTGCATATATCTGATTGTGCTGTATGCTTCTTCTTGAGTTCATTTTTTGTGTCAAATGTTTTGCCGTCATTTGCGCAAGCAGCAGCGCTTATGTCTGCGACTAAATTCAAGTTCTCCAGGGATCCAGCTATCACTGTCACATCAAGGTAAAAGTAATGTCAAGACTGCGCCCAAGATCTCCCGTGCATCCGTACAGGTCAGTGCCTCGAGAGGTGGGGTGGGTTGTGTGTTTGAAGAGAGCCTCTCCTGGAGCTCCTCAGACAAGCATCTCCTGTCTGTTAAAACAGATTGAGTGCTTCGAAGAGGAGGAGCTCGGGGCATTTTGAAGATCATCACTGTCCCGACAGCCATGCTATGGATTTTGACTTACACAGACAGGTTGGTGAGAGAGGCGACACTTGGCCCCAAGGAGGCAGGTGGCACCATGAGGACCGGCCCAGGGCAGGGTCACCCGACCAACACCGGATGTGGAAGAGAGGCCGTTCCCGTAGTCCCCTGAGACGATCGCCTCATTCTGGGAGCACTGTCAGGCGACGTGGAAGCCCACCATCAGCACTGGACAGGGGTCATGATGAACACCGACACTCTTCTGGAAGATGGCCACAAAGCCCAGAGCAGCGGAGTGGCAGTGGCAGCCGGAGGGGCGCAGCCTTCCATGACAACTTCCAGAGGTATCCCGAAGAAAGGGTTTTCTCCAGGAAAAGGGTGCTCTCGCCAGACGCTCACTATGATGCCAGGCCCAACCTGAGAGACTCGCCTCCTGGATGGGACAGGGATAGCCATAGCAGTAACCATCAGGAGCAGCAAGAATGGGTTCCAGAGAGAGGAGCAAGGGAGCACAGAGAGACCGCCTTCTACCATCCTGGACGAAGACAGAGGTGTGTCAGTGTTGGGGACATCGCCAGTGGGTCTTCCAGTTACTGCAGAAGCTCCCACTTGGGGTGATTCCGGGACGTAGTGATCGGGTAGCTGTGCTCGCAAGCCCAAGGCCACGAAGAGAAAGACTCACCTACTGCATGCCCCATGCAAAAGGTCCATTTGTCTGTAAGGTGTGACTGATGCCTGTGTGTGTGAATGTGGAAGGTGACCATGTAGTGCAGAGCCCCAAAATGCAAAGTTAGGACTGGTGGTGGGTGTGATGAGGAGCACTGAGCTTAATACTCTGTGTGTATGTGTGTTGAACATTGTTACTTGCTTTGTCGACACAGGTTTGTGGAAGGTGCTCAGTCAACGGATTTCCAGCACTTGCGGGAGAGATCAGGGAGGGAACATCGGGACCCCAGCAGCCCAGGGCGGGGGCACGTCATTGTGGAATACGACCATGGAATCTCAGACCATGGTCCACCCTCACAGGTCCATGGCTACTATCGTAGTGAACACCAAAGACACGGTCGTGAAGAGCGAGACTGGTCGGGAGAGGAGCAGCAGGAGAGGGTTCGTCCTGGACAAAAGGAGCCCAGAGTTGGGCCATTGCAGGACAGGAGGAGCCCCGTGCGCGAAAGGAGGAGCCCCGTGCGCGAAAGGAGGAGCCCCGTGCGCGAAAGGAGGAGCCCCGTGCGCGAAAGGAGGAGCCCCGTGCGCGAAAGGAGGAGCCCTGTTCGGAATAAGGGGACCTCAACCCAAAATTTGCAAAGACAGCAGGAATCTCAGACCAAGCCCATGTCTCAGGACCTCCTTAATTGCCTGGCAATGGATGCTAATGGGGATGTTGACCTTCGATATGTTGGACCCAGTTTAGCTACAAAGAAAATGCTGCAAATGCCACTGCAGAACAAGATCAAGGCGACAGGAAGGCGGCCTGACAAAGGGGAGAAGACTCCCACTGCAGCATGTGGCAGAGACCGCCCCCAGGAGACTCTCACTATCAAGGTGGACATGGGGGGCTCTGCAGTGAGACAAAGGTATAGTATCGCTGCAGTTGTCGGGAGCTCAGGCAGTGGTGAAAGTTCATGCTTCCCTCTTGTGCTTATAGTACGCTAGGGCGTAAGACACACTGGTGTTCATTGCTACGTTTCTGTGCCCACTGTGGTATCCCCATCTTTCGGAGGATCTTTGTGGTACAAACAGTGTTGTATGGCTGTGGGCTTCTGGTTTCTGCTGGAAGGATAAAGGGCTACGTAGTCTGCTGTTGAAACTTACTATATAGTGTTTGTTTTGTGAACTTGCCAACCTTGCATCTGTTATGGTTTATCGTCTTATGGTACAGTTCAGAGCTGGAGTGTGAAGTGCACCCTCTAGGCCTGAGATGGAGGAAGTGCTCCTTTAAGAAAATTGTGTTACATGGGGAAAAAACACTGAGGAGCAGTGTGTTCTCCTAATGTCCATTTTATTCTTCCTGTAGAAGAAAGTCTATCAGTACTTGTCCTGGATTTTGAGTCAAGGGGAGGATAATTTGAATTTACATTTATTTATTTTTATTTAGCAGATTTTTTTGTCCAAAATCACCTACAAATGATGCAAATAGCACATTACAAACGGACATCTAGGAGTCGAAACAGGGTCAGTGCAGCTAGACTGAGCCTCTGTACAGGTACAAGTGTAAGCAGTATTGGAGCAAGAGCTACACATCATCTTTCAAACAAATCAAGAACCTAGTAAGACGATTATTCAATGAACAGAAAGTATAACATTAAGGACATTCAGGGAAAATAGAGTGGTGTCAGGTTAGTACAGGAATTCCCGGAATAGGTATGTCTTGAGGCTTTTCTTGAAGGTGGAGAGGGAATTTGATAACTGGATGTGGTTCGTCAGCTCATTCTACCATCAGAGAACTGCACACGAGAATCATTTGGAGTGAGACTCCTCACATGGTGGAGGAATCTTCAAGTGGCTGATGGAGGACTGTAACATGGGACTAGGTCTTGAGGAGCATCTTGGTGGAGATCGGTGCCTGTCCATTAATGGTTTTGAAAGCCATCACCAAGGACTTAACCTTAATGCAAGTACCTATAGGGAGCATATGAAGTGATAAAAGGAGGATTGTAATATTAGAGTATTTTGGCTGACTGTGTTTCAGCTGATGCCAAAAGGAACTGAAGAAGCTCAGTCTTTGGAATACAGTTGCATTTTTCAAAATGACACCCGTGAAGGCTGGAATCTGACTCTGTGGATGAGTTACCGCAATGCCAAAAACCAGGTGAAGAACTCAAGCAGTCATGGTAAACGTACTCACATAAGATCTAAGGTCTCATCAGTACATTCCAGTTTAAAGTCATTTATGATATATATTCATGTCCTCTATTGATGTGTAAATGCAAGAAGGAGAGTGGAGTATTTACAGGTACCTCTTCCCACAGTTACGTACTAATGTGATTTTAGTCACCATTTTATCTGACAGCTAATGATCATCATTTTCATGATCCTTAAGCAATGCATATGTCTGATTTGGAGGGCTTGCAGGATGAAGCCCTCTGAGATGATTGGTAAATCACCCTTTTTCAGAAGTTTTTGGCTGGCTGGCTGATTGGATAAATGCCTGTCAGTTTGCTTTCATGCCTCAGATAACTGTGCTGAACCAGTTGACATACAGTCGTATCAGAGAGCTCTGTTTCTCCCACTAGCTCTGACACCGATTCAACATGTTAAATCAGCCAAAACAGCGCTGATGAGGACTAGCTGTGTCCAACTGTGCCTCTCACACCAGCACCACAAACAGTCACTGACTCTCACCAACAACCCGACGGCTTCCAATGGCTGAAAATTGGCTTGGTGTGTTTGATGCGTCACAGAAGACCCAACAAATGGTCAGGAGAAACTCACCAAAAATCCCGTCCTGTGATTCTTCTCATGAATGTGAAGCTGAAGCTTGAATAGATCTCTTCGTCTAGGCATGAATTTCTGTGTTCATCACTCATGAAGCTGAAGACAGAAGCTTTTAATGCCTGTCTGATGTCCATGATGTCTGCTGGGAAGCCCAGGCCCCAAGGCAGGATGCGGAGTGGATGGTATGCCAGCTTTATCACTTCTCATCCGAGTGACCTTGCAGTATGGAAGATGTACACTTGGGTCCAAGGGTAGAGCCTTGATGGATTCTCAGCACAGGAAGCAGCTAGCAGATGCCAGATGGGGTCATCTGGAAGACAGGAGCCAGTGATGCAGCAGCAGCTCCCTCTGGAGGCTGAATGGTCGCCAGTTTTACAGTGTCTTCAAAGAGAGGCAAGCTGGATGTTGCTGGCCATGAACACTGACCACCACCATGACTGTGCCAATACACAGAGCGGCATCATGCTTCTGTTTGTGATGATCAGTTGGCTAACTGATGAGTTGGTTTCTCGGCTACATGGGACCCATGAGCTTTAAGTTTACTTTCAAAGTAGAACTGTAGTTTTACAACTGTCAGAATTAAAGAACAAACAATAAAGCAAAAAACCAAACTGCCAACTGAAATCACTTCTGTAGGTTTCAGTATTGTTTGATTTCAGTTGAAGACTCGAAGAGGGCCATGCTGTTGTATTTTATTTGGTGATTCTCTAGCTGACGGCATTACCGCCTTGGAATGTTAAATTCTGGATGTGTCTGGGTTTCTGAACCATTTTAAATCCCTACAGTCTTGAGCTGAGCCAGCTATCACTGGATCCAAAGTCAGGTTTTCTAATGTCTATTTCAGAAGTCCACAGGTGTCAATAGACTGAGAAGAATATAGATGAAGTTGCAAAGTAATGCTTCATTTTGTTTCCGTGTTTGTTTCATTTTATTCATGGATTGATACACATCTCCTATAATTTTGAAAATATTTCTTCCCACCGTCACCTGTTGCTGACAGTTGATAGGAATGCAATGTCCAGAACCTTATGAAATCAGAGATGACCGATGGGATTGAGGAGCTTGAGCTTTGGCCTGAAGATGCATCTTGGAGAACAGGCATACTGATGACTGATGTTTCCTCACCAGCTGTCTATCGGAGCTACCAATTTCCAATCACCCTCTGGATGTGACTCTACCCCAGAGCTATGCTGAAGGAAGCTTGCTGTGGGCATCTTGTCCTGAAGCTGAGCGGCCAGCATCCCTGGAGGAGAAACAGGAAATCTTACATTTATTGATCTGAATCAGTTGAGATACTAACACAGTAAATTTGGAAAGGAAGCATGAACTTTCACTTGTCCCATTGGCTTTGAGTTGCCTGCCAGGGGGAGGTTTTAACCAGATGTAAACCTCATTCTCCAAATCATCTCCAACGCACCCAAAGTGATGCTGTGACCTCTTGAAAATTTTGTTCATAACTTTAACAAGAAACCACTCTGTAGATGGTAAGTGTTACTGTCGTTCGTGTAGCTGGGAAATGGCTCCTCCATGCAGGATCCCGAGGACCTGCCGCAACTGTTGGTGCTCTCAGGTCAGCAGGACTCCCTAGATAAGCAGCCACAGACACTCTCATGTCTTTCTAGCCAGTCCCTGTCCTCTGCGGACCGGCAGCTGTCTTTGGACCTGGTCAGCGTGGGCCGGCAGCGTCTGGACTTCCTGCCGGCACTGGAGCAATTGGGTACCCATGGAGAGAACACAGCCCATTCAGGGACCTTCGCCCAGGAGATCATCACTCTGGTGCATCAGGTCAAAGGTCAGCCATGCACGAGCGGCCCTCCTCCATCATGGAGTATGGGCAGCTCTTGCAGATCATACAGCAGCCCTTTTCACCATTGACTATTTGATTTGATCTCTGTCTTGTTACCAGAGCGCTGTTTTAAGAGGCCACTCCTGACCCTCAACCAGAGGTTCTCTGATGTCCAGAGTAGGCAGTTAAATGAGGACGTGGAGGAGGAGCAGGTGGAGGAGGGGAAGCCTGGACGAGCCAGCAGCCCCCGGATAAACAGGTTACCATCCATACTGGTACATGCTGTCGCTCACATGCAGTCTGTCAGTTGGTGTATGTGTGTCATATGTAACGTCATCTGGCTTTCACAGACGCATCGACATGTCCCTGTCAGAGCTGAGAGCCTTCCGGAAGGTCAGCCCCAAACAGGTAGGTGCAATGATGCCGTGTTTTATCACCAGATTATACTGGTGTTCGTGGCAGTGCAGGATTCCTATCCTCTCTTTATCCTCCTGATTGTTTCTGTTTCTATGGCTCACAAATGGGCCACACGGTTCTGTTTGACTCTGTCAAATCAGTTCCTGTTTCTCCTGTCATAAGCGGCGAGCACCGGATGACCCCAGTGACCTCCGGCATGACCTGGAACGCCGCCGGCAAGAGCGGCTGGAGGAGGTCAAGGTCACCATTCCTGGTGTGGGCTTTCACCAGGCCTCTGGGAGGTGAGACGCATACAAGTGCTTTGTGTCAGTGCGTTGGGACAGCAGTAACAATGATCCAGTGATGTCGCAGTTATGTGAATGGTAGCAGTGCTGGGCTAGCGGCTAACGGCAGTAATCTTATGTCCCAGCATGCAGAGTGACACCGAGTTTTCCAGCAAGGCCCAGGGAAGTTTGGGAGGCTGGACGGCAGCTGGGCAGAGGGGCAACAAGGCAGTAAGAGGCGGGACCAGCTCTCCTGGGGGGGGGGGTCACTGCCATAGTGCAATTTGGGCTGCTGGGAGCATTAATAGCAGTTTCTTTTAATTATCTACTTCCTATAGGGGGCAGCAACTCATGTGGTTCATGTGCTATGTATCCCTCTAGGGGGGTGTCTCCGAGATGCAGCTTGGATTCACTAGACCCGGTTTCGGTCTGCAGAGCAAATCAAGCCGCATTCAGAACCGCCCTGGACCACGCTGGCGCCAGACTGAAAACAGTGCCAAAGGTCAGCTGCAGAGCAGCTTCGTGCCCACCTTATGTTTGGTTCCCTGAGGCTGTTTCTGTGTGTGAGACAGAGAGATGGGTCATGTGTGTGTGCTCGCTCTCCCCCAGCATGTTCTCTCTCTCCCTCTTCCAGTCACCGATTGGTGAGTTGGACAGATGGAAGATACTCCAGCAAATGAAGATGCGTGAGGCTTGTAGAAGCGCTGGGTGACCTGTGGCCCTGCAGCTTCTGTGTGTAGCAGTATGCCCTGCCAAATCCGAAGGGAGCGCTATTCCTCTGTTGTACCTCCCTGGTTGTGTCTGAGGCATACGGTCTGAACTGCGGGGGAGGGCGGTTCTGAGTACGGACATGCGGGAGGGCAGTAACACTTTGGGAGGCCATGTAACAGACACGTCTGCTGCTTTATGCTGCCAGCTGTTTTGTGGTCTCTTCTCAGCTACACCGCAGGGAATCAGGGCCTGAATAAATCTGCGTTTTAAAAGGTTTGTTTCCTGTCTCTCTGTATCATGGTGATGCAAAGGGTCTTAAAGCACTCTCAGAGCCTGATCATGACCATTCCTACATTTGGCTGTGGGTCAGCCTATTATGGATTTGATGGCCAAAAAAGGAAAACACAGAGCAGCCCTTGGGGGTGGGGATATCAGCCCACTGGATCGTCTTTCAGGTCATGGTGAAGGTCCAGCAGTGCGACACTGACAGATGCAGCCTGAGGGCGGCCTGTGTTGCACTGTTTGACAGAGACCCACCACACCACATGTGCTCCCTCAGTGTGATGTTTACAGCTCAGTCCGTTCGGAAACACTGCCACTCCTTTCATGTTTCATCCCTGTCGCTTCTTTCATGTTTAGTGAATTTGATTTATGTTTAATGTTGATTCAAACAACTGTACCTCCCTGCAGCGGCCTTTTCTGCCTCCCCCCTGTCTCTGGGCCTTAGTCCTTAGAGCAGGGGTCTCCAACTCCAGTCCTGGAGAGCTACTGTCCAGTAGGTTTTCTATCCTACCTGGCTTCTGATGAGCCACAGCTGGCCCTGGTATTTACCTGAGAGCTAGTGTGGCTCATCAGAAGCCGGGTATTATAGAAAACCTACTGGATAGTAGCCCTCCAGGACCAGAGTTGGAGACCCCTGCCTTAGAGTATCTCAGTATCATTTCCAGAGCGGTTTCACCCCCCTGTCTGGTGCTGCCTTCCATCCTGTCTCAGGCAGCAGCTGCACCATTTGTTGACTCACTGACTGTAAGGGTGCTTAATGATCATGCTGTAAATCGCATGAATTAATACCTTCCTGATGGTGTAGCCTGTTCCTGCGTCCCTGCCCCCCTCGCTGACTTGTGCCTGATCCCCAGTGTGTCCCTGACCACCTCGCCTTTGCCTCAATCCTTGGTGTACTGCTGCCCTTGTCACTGTGTCCACTTGCACCCTAGTCCCGCTCCACTCGACTTGAGCACTTGCTGTCCCCTGAGCACTGATGTCTTTCCTCCACCATGTTTCTGCTTTGTTGGCTCAGCTGTGTCATTCTTGCCCTGTATTTCATTGCTGTCTGTCCCCCTGGGGTTGCTACAGTTTAATGTGTGATCAGCAGCACCTCCTGCAGTTCCGTTCCCCTCTTTCCCAGTATGGGGCTTTGCCTCCTGCAGGACACCACCAGAGCTTTTAGGCTGGGCCCCTGATGGATGTCCTCAGTGACAAATTTGTTATCTGGCTATATACTGCTTTAAAAAAAGGTGTTTTCAGCAAGAGCCACTGACAGTGGCTCTTCACACTGCAAAACTCATGTTCTTCCTTAATTGTGTAACTTGTCACTTTTGTTTGGACCAACTGCTTGACCACAGTTCAGTGGTAAAGATTTACTTCAGGGTTCCCTAGTTCACAGATTTCCCTGTCCAAATACATCTTAATTGGCTAATTTCGTAATTTAGTGGGTCGGTTTGTGTCAGAACTGTGGAACCCTGATTTATTTTGTGGTCTGCAGGGTGACCTTTTAATTCACCACCATTAGGTGGCGACAGAGCGCCATGATGCCTCTGTCCCAGGTTTGTCCTAATTTTTTAGAAGTGCATTGCTTAATTACCAGACTGTTTGAAGTTAATGATTCTGCGTCATTAGGAATGTTCTAGACGTCAGGGTCTATTCAGGTGAGCTGTTCATCATTGACGGGGAACATGACACTTGTTCTTTTTTTGGTTCCCCTCTTCTTTGCTATCTTCCTTCTGTCTGTCTTCCTCTTATAAATGTTTAATTTTTGCCATGTTTCAGGAATGGGGTGGGGCCAAGGCAGACAGGCTGTCTATTGGGGGTGGGGCCAGGGCAAACTGAGATTGCCCCCAATGGTCACTCACAGCTGGTCTCTTTCATGTTGATTCTGCAGGCTACTGTGGCCTGTAATTCATAGTGGTATTGGTGACTGACAACAGTAATGTATTTACAAAACTATGTTTTTAATCCATCTAATGATAACAGGATAAGGACACCGAAATGGGTGAATGCGACACCTCCTCCCCCCGAATGACGAATCCAATGTGAGATCATTATGTAAACTTTCAGGTTTCAGAGGGTGGTAATGTACTCTTGTGATTTATGTACTTTTATTATAGATTTGCATAACTTGCCAAGCACTATTACATATTTAAATGCTGTCATTTCATATTTCATAAGCTTGGACTGTTTACTAAACTGCAGTCATTCTAGGGTTTCCCCCAGCAGCCTTTTAACTTGTTATAACTGATGAATTTGTTATCACTTTGCATACTCACACTTCCTGCAACCTTCGAGTTCCTCCACACTTGGTCACAGTTCCCTGATTGACCTGTGTGGCAGTTGTGTGGACAGACCCCTCCCCTCTGGGTTTATGATGCCTGTCCATGTGAGGTGGATGGGTTCTAAACAGCCACATGTTTCCACCACCTCCTGCCTTTAGCTGGGGGAGAGTTTGCTGAGGGTCTGTGTCTCTCCAGAGTGCTTTTTCCTTATTCTATCCCTTGCCTGCTGCCCCGTTTATGAGTGGTGCTTTCTGCTTTACCTCTATATCACAGCGCACCCTGACGGGGGGGGGGAAGCCATTAATGAGCCACGTTTGAATCTGGACCTAGACTTCCCATTAACTGCGGCAGTGGCACTGAATGGAGTTGCACCACATTGGCACTGAGTCGTAACTGTGTCAGGATAGTTTTGCTTGGGCGAAATTGGTAGATGTTAGAGAGCCAGGCAGTGCCTCCAGTGTGGTGCACACATAAAGCACAGGGAGTGGCCAGACGGGGGTCATCACGCGCTGCAGGGGTGAGGGAGGGATGAAGACACCCAGAGACAGTGAGGTGTAGTGACTATAGGGAATGGAGTGGATTTGCAGTACCTGTCGAAGCAGATGGTCGATCCCACCTGCAGCCTACAGGAACTGTAGTCCTCCCTGTGGTTCAACAGGCGCATGCTAAAAGGTACAATGGAGAGTCCTGCAGACAGATGGATAGGCCGAGTCAGCTCATCAGGCAGAGAGACAGGCAGACACAAATAGACAGATAGGCAGACAGATAGGCAGACAGGCACAAACTGGCACAGAGACCTCCCGCTGATGTAATAAGATGAAATTGGCAAGCAGTGAGCTAGTTGCCAGTTCATGATGCATGTGACATTGTCTCCATTCTGATGGAGACACATGAAGGATATTGTCTGCCAAGGAGCTAGATTAACACTGTCAGTAAGGACTGACCCACAGCTGGCTTCTGTAAAATTGCAGTATCGATCATGTGTTCTCCTTTTAATACAGAAATCACCCCCAAAGGCAGGGGCTAAATTTGCAGCCCATTACAGAGCTGGCAGAGAATGTAAATAATCTATGCCTTTGGTTATTATGGCACAAGGACTCTGTTCTTTCCAGCTTGCTTTGCCTGGGCTCGTAGGCGTGGATCCACTGGCTTTTTAATAGTTTGGAGAATGATCTGAAAGCAGAGTGTGGGTGGGGACACACAGTCCCACTGTTACTGATTCTGTCTCTAATGCTTCACTGACTTTGTGTCTGTCTCTATTGTCTCACTGTCTCCACGTATGTCTCTATTGTCTCACTGTCTCCACGTCTGTCTCTATGGTCTTACTGTCCCCATGTCTCTCTCTATGGTCTCATTGTCTCGCATCTGTCGCTTATGTTTGTCTCTCTCTCTGTCTGTCTCTTTTGCCTCACTGTCTCCATATGTGTCTCTGTCTCTGTGTCTAATAAACATAGATAAATGCAAATTTGAAATAAAGGATGGACAAATTGATGCCAAAATGCATCTTGTTAGTGCAACAGTGTCTCTACACAGCCCCAGTCACTAAGAAGGTGTTTCCTCCCCAGAGCGCACCAGCTAACAGGTCCCAAAGTCATGCCAACGCCCCCCCATTACTAGCACTCCCACTCTCTCCATGACAGGAAATAAATTCATTGGAATATATAAAAAACTCCCCATGTGAATAATTTAGGCGCTGTCTTCCACAGTTCCGTATTCGCGGCCTAGACCTCATGTCGCACTTGCAACTCTGGGGAAAAAGCTGATCTCAGTGCTGTCACGAGCAGAGGGTTTTGGGGTGAAGAATTCCATCAATGGGACAGTTTTCACAGTCTGTCCTCTGGTGAAAGATAGCTTGGGCCAGGTGAAGGTGAGGCGTGTTTATTAATGCCACAACGGAGGAGCTCCCTTCCATCTCCTGGCTTTTATAGGCAGACATCTCCGCAACTGTCCTTTACAGTGTGATGGGCAGAGGTGTGTAGTAATGTGCGACATTCCGTTAAAATTACTTCAGTAACTTTTTGAAAAAAATCAACCCCTTAAACAGTGAATGCTTTATATTCATTCTTGAGTATATCTGGAAAAAGAAATGTGTACTTTTACTCCATTACTTTTGCCAGCATCATCTCACTACTCGCTACTTTGTCACACGTGGCTCACCTTTTAATGACTTGTGTGTCTCACGAGTGTATTTCAGCCATTCCATCAGTGTCATTTTTTCTCCCAAACCATTTCAGCTCAAACTATGCCCCACAGCTGACTTAACTGCAAACCATCCATCCATCCATCCATCTTCTACCGCTTTTCTGGGTCGGGTTGCAGGGGCAGCAGTCTAAGCAGGGAAACCCAGACTAACCCCAACCATTTCATTCAGCTCCTCCGGGGGAATCCCGAGGCATTCCCAGGCCAGCCAAGAGACATAGTCTCTCCCGTGTGTCCTGGGTCTTCCCCGGGGCCTCCTCCCAGTGGGACATGCCCGGATCACCTCACCAGGGAGGCGTCCAGGAGGCATCCTGACCAGATGCCTGAGTCACCTCATCTGACTCCTCTCGATGCAGAGGAGCAGCAGCTCTACTCAAACTCCCTCTCGAATGACTGAGCTTCTCACCCTATATCTAAGGGAGAGCCCAGCCACCCTGCGAAGGAAACCCATTTTGGCCGCTTGTATTCGCAACCTTGTTCTTTCGGTCACAGCTCATGACCATAGGTGAGGGTAGGAACGTAGA